CTTTCTACGGCASGAAGAGTCACAGTTTCCTCTATGAAGTAAGAGGAAGAGGCCAGTTTGTGCAAAGTGAGTGTTTTAGTGAGAAAGGAACCCCCAAGATGTGGGGTCATAGGAGCTCTGTTTCCAATTCTAGACCTAAAGTGATACRCAGATGCATATTTAATAATCTGTTAAACCTTGTGAAAACCTGTGAGGAGACTGAGAACTCACAAACGACTGCTAGGAATAAACTACTCTGAGACTTCAAAACTTTGAAAGAAAGTGAGTGAAGGAAATGGTCATGAAAATCAATGAGAGGCATCAAATGTGCACAACTTTGGTGACTTAATGCTGCTCAAAAGACTTCAAGAATTTTTATAAACTTTGARCAAAACTTGTGCCGATATCTAAATACTGTGTGCTACAGACAAAAGCATAACTACTATTTTTATGCAAACTACTTGGTGCTTTGGCCAGCAACCAGAAAACAAAAACAAACCTAGATTTTTCTAAAGCCTTAAAATACAATAATTTCAGATAAGTGGGTTCAAATAAAAACCTCGCTCTGATTTTTAAACCTCTTAGTCTATCTCTCTCCAAAAGTATTTCCTTGAAATTTTGTTGTCGAGTTTCTTCATTCTGACCATAACTGGAAACAGAAGCATAATCAAAACACTGTGAGAAAGGCTGAAATTAAAGATTTTTGGGTCTGACAAGAAGCAGGAAATACTGAAAATCTTGCAACAAAGTCCATTCTCCAGAGACTTCCAGGCCGGGGGGGTTTGGAAAGTTACATAAGCAACGAGATTGCCGAGTGCTTTACAAGCCAAACTGAACAGCCAGCCTTCCCGAGTTCCTCTGCTTTGCATACTTCTCTTTATCCCTTTCTTTCAAAACAACCTTTTCATATTTATAGTGAAAGAAAATTCATTCCTTTAATAAAGTACTTAGGAAACAAGCACCTCRGTGGGACTCATTGCTGCTGGCTGTTGTTCAGATGATGTATTTGCAGGGCAGATCATCAAAGCAACAGCAGGCTTCAGTTTGTGCACTGCTGTAGTAAGGACTTCTTATAAGAATATTGCTTACAAACAAAATGGTAGAAAAAAAGATTATCACCTTTGTCAAACAGTGACAGAACTACTAATCATAGAAAACAATAACAACTGCTATGAGCTCCAGGATTGATCATAATTATTGTCATATTGCGCATGTATCAGCCACAAAGTCTAGCCAGTAGATGCTGAGCAAAAATATTCCCGTTCTTCGTCAAGCTGCAGAAGGAAATAAGGAAAATAAAAAAAAAGGGCCAGGAAGCTGCGTACCTGGAAAAGAAGCAATAAGGAAAACTCTCCTTGAGACTGAGACCAGCTGGATAAAATCCCCCATTACCCATGCAACTGCTCGCTCAGCACCCCGGCTGCGGGGCTCGCTCTCGCAGATCCCCTGCAATCTGGCAAGCATGGGAAACTCTTTCAGAAGCTTCTGTGTGAAAATGTCAAGGAGAAACTACACGCAGAGGACTGCTTTGTAAGACAGTGGTAGAGAGGCTGCTCCAGCCACTAGGGCTTAATCACTTTCCTTGAGCCAGAGAGCGTAATTCCCCCTGTTCTTGAAGCATTTACCTCTTCATCACACAACCAAGTAACATGGTCTGCATTTTCATAAGATTTGCTGCTTAATACATGAAAAGGAATAAAACAGCTCTTGGAAAAGCATTTCTTCCGTATGTTTTCAAAATGCCTCTGGAGCCCTACAGATCACTGTACAGTGTTAGGTATTAGCTGGCTGTTTAATGAAGCCAGATGGGAAAAGGTCACCTTGGAACTACTATAATAAGATAACCTTGCCAGAAACTCTAAAATGTAATTATTTAAGCAACACCCACATTGGAAAAAAAAAAAAAATATGGTCAACAAAGACCATTGCATGAGATATATTCTGGTTCAACCAAAGGTCATTAGGCTAGGTAGAATTCTTGAATTCAGTGGAGTTGAATTCATTAACACCAGGGTTGAATGTCATCCAAAGTGCTAACAACTTCAAGGGCTTTAGTAAGCAACTACCCTGGCCAAGAACTACATGCTGGCTAGAATAAGATGAACATTTATTTAGTGAAATAAACTTTCCCTGCAGAAAATCATTTTGAAACTATTAGAAGGATAATAATTTAAAGGATATGTAAATGTGTGTGTGCATGTGTGTGTGAGTGAGCATGAGCACGGATGTTTTAGAAACACAGAAGATACTGCACTTTTCTCTCTTAGCACACTGTTTCCTATTAGGCTTTAACCTTGTTCTTGCATTAGAAAAAAAATGGTGACATATTTTTTCTCCTTGGTARCTTACACAGGCACTACCCTGCTTGAGCAGCGGGGTTGGACTAGATGATCTCTAGAGCTCCCTTCCAATCTCAACCATTCTGTCATTCTGTAAATGTACACTGAATTCGTAACATTCAATATGGGCCCAACTTGCAAACACTTCAAATATTACTACACCAGGTGGTACGGTCAATTCCCTTTACAGCTCCAGGAGTGTTAGCACTGGATTTTACACTGCTTCCTGTCCTATGACACTTCATGTGAAGCAGTCTCACCTCAGTTCTTTAGCCCTGGATTTATTTTGCTTTTGTTTTTAAAATTAAATAAAAAGCTCACATTGTTTTCAGAAATGTTTTATAACGGAAAGAAGTCACATCTTGTGAAAGCCTTTAGGCGCTAGGCTCTCCCTGGCATTCAAACACTTGGATGCTTTGATGGCTTCTAGTTGAGTCTGAATGTCTTTGAGGAGGAAATCTCATATTCTTGCCTCTTTCCAGCACCTATTGATTTTACAGAAAATACTGAAAAAACACCCATTCTGGACTGGGTCTATGATTAGTGAGAAGCGGTGGAGCTCTCTAAATCCACACGGAGCTTGGATGCTCACCTGAGAGGAGCTGACTAGGCAGCGCCCCAGCAAGGTCTGCTGACATCTTACTGAGACACTTCTAGTGATTCTGAGCTGGTACATGATTTTACACTAAAGAAACCAAAAATCGGGCAACCTGAAAGCAAGAAATCCTAAATACTTTATGAGAGGAATGTTGCTCACAAGCAGCTGTGATGACTGCAATTGGATAGAACAGGGATCYGAAGGTTTAGCTTAGCAAAGCACTCAAACATACACTTAAAGTATCTGCTGGTGGTTACTTTGCTGTTGCTGCTGCTCCTGCAGCATAAAYATAGATTTAAGATTTTTCGCTTTTTTTTTTTTTAAAAAAAAAAGGTTCAATGGTTTTGTTGGTTTTTAGAAATTTAGAGWAATCTGTAAATTTCAGAGATCTGAGTTTTCAAGTCTCCCAGCTTTATGAGGTTTACATAGTCTATAATAATTTGCTCAAATGCAGATTTTGAATGCTGTGCTATCTGTGAGAAACCTGTGGCCATTAATTACACTGGAAAACATCTTTCCAAATACCACTGAACTTGGACAAGAAATTGCCAAGAAATCTTCTTCTAGTTTTAATTTTCTTATCTTTAGAACACTTTCTTTTCTGCGCTCATGCAATTATACCTGCCTCGATAAGCCAATCTGATAATGTTACAGTATAAATAATGGCTGGAGGTCCTTTTAAATGGGACTGCAGCCCTAAGAATTCTTAACAGGGGTGGGTGTTGGTAGATTTAGCAGACTAAATCTATAGCAACAGGTTTAAACTGAAAGCAGGGATGACAGAATAAACTCTGGGGATAAGGAGGAGCATGGGAAAGAGAAAGCCTCCCACTTTTGCATACATGCCAACACTATTTTCACGTAAAAAGGTTACTATTTTTCCATCCCTGCCCATTCCAAAAATGTTCACATGGCTCAGGACAGTTTATTACAGCTAAGGGAATTTCCCTATTACCTGTTTTAATAAGTTGACTTGTAAATCTGAGAAGAAAAACTCTTCAGATTCATGATTTTATAAAATTTGCGATGTGACAACTTACACTGGCTTGCCAAGCAAACTGTATTCCATCCATTTCCCACCAAACACACAGTATCTACAAGAGTACTTTAGATAAAATAATTATTTCCTTTCATGACAAAAGCAGCTAGTGCTGATGAATACTGGTACATATAAATAGCTCATTAATATTTTTGGAAGGAACTAGGACAAATCAGATTTGATGATGACATCACCCTACAGGAGGTCCAGAGATCTGGACTGAGATTTGCAACTTTCAGTGCAGCAGCTCTAGGAGTAAGAACATGGAGCCAAAGAAAAAAACGCCTCATGCTGATCCATTATTAGAATTCGCTATGGTAATTCTTAGGAGAGGTCTAAGGACGGACAAATAAATAGACAGCAATTAAAGGCAGAAATCTATAAAGCCTAARAAACAGTTTTTTCTCCCGATCCCTCAGCAAAATTGGGTCCAAGAGGGAATCACAAATGTAGGCAAACCATGGAACTAGGGGCTCTGCAGGTGAAAGGAGTGAATGGAATCATTCACAATGCACACAAGACAAAGATACATATGTAGAAAGTTCCACGTTGACTCTAATGGGCAGGACACTACACAGCTCTAAAATTATACCCCACATGCTAAAAAGCTAATAGAAATGCCCCAGGATTCTCTGGTCTTTTAAATTAAGAACCTGTTTGAGAATAAACTGAATAAATGATCTCATACCATGAAAACACCATCCCAATATCATTTCACCTCAGCACAACTGTGGTATGCACTTCCACGTTAAAAGCACTTATGTTTTAGGCAATCAGACAGTCCTCTTTTCTGCCCCAGTAAGCTCAACATACTTCACATAACCCAGTATGCTCCTTTGCCAGATTCTCTTTCTGACAATATTAACAACGTGACAAGTCTTTTCTACCAGATCAAACCAGAATTACAAACTGAGAGTTAGTTTTGATCAAAATCCTAATTATTTTTTTTCCTCTTGACATCTATTCTACCCTGCTCAGAGAGTAGCTTACCTGGGCCCACATTGCACTGTATCACAAAGAATGTGTTCACTGAGATACAACTTACCCAAATAGTTGTTGCTCTTGTACATCTCTGTGATGTTGATTTTAGTAGCTCCTTCAGGAATTTCCACTATCTTGTGGTAGCCAAGATTAGTTAGTGTGTGTTTGAAAACTCCAGACACAACTTTGCAAGCAGTGTTGTCTCCTCCACATATTCCACACTTGTCAACCACTTTGTCTGAACCCAGATAGTCATCGCAGCCAATGCTCTGCAAAATAAAACACATTTTTTTGCCAACATATTACAACTGCAAAATTTCAGGCATAACAAACTGAGGACAGCGTGACTTTCAGAGAACATAAAACCTGCAAAGATTTTATGAAGTATCAACAATTTCTTCCTTTGTTCCTCTACATGCAATAAAGCAATAAAAAATACCCACACCAGAGAATATATATACACACACACAGACGTCGGGGATTCAAGTTAATCTACGGGTTTTGCACCTAAAAGCAATCTATGTCAAACTCCGCAATATTATAACTAAAAACACAAGAACACAGTAGAAATCACTAGTGCATTTATCATTCCTGATCTCACTCTTCTCATCTTAAAGCCAAGTATCTCTTAACACAAATGCTATAACTGTTGGTCACAAAAGGGTGAAACACAGCTGTGACTTTGCTATGAATCCAAAACAGACTTTCAGTTTGGATACAAATATTTTATACATAAATTGTCTTTTAAATTTTCTCCAGGAATGAGTACAGAGCTTTCTCCCATATAAAGTGCCTTTAAAAAGTATCTATACYGTGTTTGAATTCTAGTTATCCTCTGTTTATAGGACATAAGAAGGTGGCACGTCATTTTGGCCCACTTTGTAACACCACTCCARACAAGACAGCTAAAAACAACCGCGAAAACAGAGAAAAAGAGAAACTCATTGTACTTTAAAAGGGCAAACATAGCAGACATTAATTCTTTTGCAGAAAACATTTCTCTTTGTTACATTGCTGTTTACTATTTACAGACTTTAAATATCATTTTTTATAAATACCCATCCCCTACTTGTATGATTAATTCCCTATTTGAAATAGTGGGTCAGAAACATGCAGGCAAAAATAACTTCTTATTTTCATTCAGGTAGGAGTGCACCATTACATGGAGCAGTAGAACAGAAACTTTCACATTTTCTCTGAAATGTAAAGTGTTTACATTAAATTATGGACAAAATATTTGCAAAATACTGGCTAAAAAAAGCTAATAATTTTTTATAGTCTCTCGTGGAAGCAAAAATTCAAGTAAAAAGAACTTTCTAATACTACCAATTTACAGCATGGGGAGTGTGTTGAGCCCGGGCGTCATTCTGTTTCTTTACTATCCCAGTACTAAYGCTTGTCCCTTGCTGCGAAAAATGTTCTAAACTGCAAGCCAGATTCTGCTTAGATCCAATATAAATATTTAATACTCGACATCTTTCTTATGACTATCCAAAAAACACAGATAAAACATCTAACTTCTTACTGCCAGGGCTTGTGAGGCTTCACACTGATGCCTGTTTGCACTCATGAAGCAAGGGGACAAGCACTACCAAGCACTTGGATGCTGATGGTGGGAGAGGCTGATAACTAAAACCTGTTCCAACCTACTAGACCTAGAGGGAGCAGATTGGGGCATCATTTTGGAAGGATTCAGGATACAGACAGAAACATTTGGTTTAATGTCTTGCATCTGCACTGTGTGGCAGAAACACAACGTTATGCGTGAATCTTATTTTCATGTTTTGTCATTAAATGCATTTTACTTAATGAAAGTGTAAGAAAACTTACTAAGTAGTGTACTACAGGTTTTGTATACTAACTTACAAGTTACTACATCTATTAGCTTATTTATATGGATTAACTTAGTAATAACAATACTTACTAGTGGTGCTGAACCTTTGTTTAAGGATGGTGATTATCACAAGGATGGTGATTATCACCAAGTGTCACTAAACCAAATCATACTGTATAATTTTAGATTCCCCTAAAACAATCTGAAAAAAAAAAGAAGTTACCTAAATTTAAGACAGCTTTGACCACATACTGTTTAATCTCCGGACTCCTTCTCACAAGGTATTTTGTTAAGAGGATTCACACTTCCCTGCCATATTTTTCAGWCAGAAATGTGGTGGTGCTTAGAATCCTCCAGTGTTACTGAGCATCTTCCAGGAAGTTTCCACTGCCAGCAATTCTTTTATGGAGGAAATCCTTTCAAATACGAGGTGCTATATGATTTGAATTGCTAGCATAGATGTTTACTGGTCTTCTACATCACTATTGAGTCCCATAAACATTAATATATTTTCCTTCCTTCCAGCCGAGTAGAAAAGAGAGTTTTACTCATTGCATAAAATACAACGCAGCATCACTATGGGGCACCCAGATACACATTTTACATACCTATAGAACAGGTATTTACTAACAGACTACAATTTTACAAAGGAAAGTTCAAATTTTATATTGTTTTTTTTGTTGAGATGTCTCTGTAATGGCAGACTTTATAGATGAAGAGGCCATTTGTAACTAGTATGTTCTGGAAAACATTTACAATTCCTTAATTCTGTTTGGGCAGGCCTATAAAAAAAGATATTGCATATTCTCTTAATATTTCCAAACCTGGCAATGATAGTCATAGAGCAAGTCTCTGTCCAGTTGGTGAATGGGAATCTCTCTTCTAGCTGTAGATAGCACTGATAGGTCATGAAATGCTGGATCTGATGCCAGTCACTAGCCCAGGCTCTGTACTTGATACATACCAGGCCCTGCCCCAGGGTAATTTCAGGAAAGAAACACCTCTCTGGTAAACTGCTTCTGTTTTTTTCTGCTTTTAAACAGCAGTTTGAAGTTGTTCAGAACTTTGGAATGCTACAACTAATCTTGCAAGAACTAGGTTGGTAAAGAGAATACATGAAAATTAATAAAAAAGGTACAAAAAATGCAACTGTATTAAACACGTCGTCCAATATTTTGTGTTTTTTTCTAAGTAATGACTACAAATTTAAGAAGTACCACCTTGCTACTTGAGTATCAAATATCAAAAACAGGAACCAACTTTAATCTGTCTCAAGTGGTGGTGCCRTTATATTTAAGCATGTGCACACACAGCAAAGACCCTTATATCATATCACTGATATAGCAGCAAGAAAAAGGTAAAGAAGTGATGCAAAACTGGAATCTACATGGCATGTTCCTTCCAATATTTGCTGTGGGAGCATGGATCGATCTTAACTATGTCAAAGGACATAATGATCAGAAGTTTTGCTAGGTAAGTTGACAGGTCTGAAATCTCAGATCCAGTCTCCTTGTGTAGTTCTAGAGCTGAGACAGAAAGTGGGGCCCAATGCTCTGACATCCAATTTAGCAGCCTCTCCTCTATCCCAAAGAAGGCCTCTGTCAATAAAGAATTCATAGTACCAGTTTTCATCATGTAAAAGATATTTCAGGAATCCAAAAGCAGATGTCACAAACTACACACAATGTGGCTACTATAGATGTAAAAATATCAGGACTGTGCACAAGATGAGTGAGCATCCTGCCCATAAAAGAGGATTTCTCACTTGATATGGCAGTCATGACCACTTTTTGGACAGGACCACTGCAGGCTGTTCTTTGGCTATCAATAAAAGGTGGTTTAGAACATCTCTGCTCTGTTAAAACGATTTCTTTTACTTTTTTTTTTTTTTAATCATTTCTTAGAAGTATTTCTGCCTTCAAATTTTAGTACTATAAACCAAGCATCTTGCATGTTGTTCAAATATTTTTGCATTATGGTTCACAAAACCTTTTTAAGTTACAGGTTAGCACGAAAGACACTGGTCAAGAATTACAACCAACTGTATGCCAAAATTAATTTAAATGAAATCCCAGGAGAAACAAGGGACAATCTGGATGAAATATTCAGTGGGGGACTTAATAGGGCTTTAGGATTATGTATACAATAAAATGGGGCTGGTGCCAGGCATGTGAAGAGATGAAGTGCTGATTCTTGAAATGGAAAACAGATGTTATAATTTCAGTACTAAATGATTCTACTAAGAACTCCGATCTATGTGGTAAAATGGCATAAATAATGCACCGTAACAATAGTTTGCTTTCGTTGTTTTAGCTGCATAATATTACGAGGGAGGAAAGAACAGGTAAGAGTTGCAGTATGTCAACAGCCCTCAAAAATCAGCTATACTGACAGTTAATAGGCTGAAAAGTTGCATTACAGTAGGTAATTTATTACTTACAATAAGTAGCCTGTGTATTCAAGATGTTACAAGACAGACAAAAAACATTTAAGTTATACTCAAACATAACTGAAAAATTCTAACGAAATGGTGGGGCCAGTTGCGGATGGCTGGTACAAAATGGCGGGGACAGTTGCAGAYGGCTGATACAAAATGGCGGAGGTAGGGCCGGATGGCTGGCACAAAATGGCGAGGGCAGTTACACTCAGGAGCACCAAGCAGCCCAGGGGGATGCAGGAGGAGTCACTTCGCAAGGTGCATCACCGAAAACATGGCTATGGAAGCTAAATGGGAAGCAAAGGAGTACCAGAGGTGGATTGGGCAGCTGCAGAAAAAAAGTAAAACCTGCAGTTACAGTATCAAGAAATGCTAATCACCACACTACTAATTGCTGAGGCTATCGCTATTTTACACGCTACTGTCCTACAARCCACTGCACATGGTATTTGCTGTTGCACTCAGAGGACAGTACTGCAACTACCCCAGCTCGGGATCAGTGATTCAGCCAACAAAACTCTGAACTCTTCCTGCTGCACTACAAAATAACCACAAGTACTGAGACTATTGATTAGCATTGCAGGTGATTTCTAGAAATTAACTACAAGAGATAACCGCTTTACTTTGCTGTTATTTCATCTTCTGTCTGTGTTGCAAAATAGTTGGTAGTCGAGTCTTACAGGATGATAGGATGTGAAGAGCATCTCGACTGCTCATACCTCCTTTCTTGAATTGCTGTTCATACTTGGAAGTAGTGCAAAGCCCTTGGATAGCGATTCCAGTGAAAACCATGAAATACAAAGACGGTTAAGAAAGAGCTTTATGGGCTGATGCCTTTGCATATTTTAATTAGAAGTTAAAGTTATCTTTCTCATCCTACTATAATGTATCAGATTATTAAAAGATAATATTTTAGATATATTTAGATTTAAGCTGTTTAATACCATGTGCTTCCTAGAGAGAAACATGATTGCATGAATCATCATACACTAAGAGAT